TATGAAGAGTTACATTGAAAATTGTAAATAATATTATAAATTGAATCTTGAATGACAATTATAAATGATGAGCAATCACAAAAAAAAGTCTCTTCTTATTTGAAATCTTTTATTTCTTTCTAAGCATTTTATTCAGAAAAAGGAACTATGAACACTTTTTGAAGTCAAATTAAGTTAATTGATAATTTCTGAAGATTTTATTTCAAGAATATGTATAACAAATTAAATATTTCATTCATAAAGGATAACGAAAAATAATTTAGTTAAAAATTTTTCAAGTTTGTATAATGATTGAAATTTCAAATTAGAACAATGAATAATCTTCTTTAAAAATACAGTTGTTTTTTTGTTAGCAATGCAAAACAGTATTTTAAACAATAGAAAAAAGTGTTCATGTTGAATATGAGTCAAAATTGAATAGAAAAGTTATCTATGCAGCATATGAAATTCAACCGAAGATTAAAAAAGTAGGGTAGTTTCTCGTGATTAAGTTTTAATAATCCAGAGTATGACAATCAAAAAAAAAAATTGCATACTGAAAATATGACATGACTAAAATAGAAATAAATAATTTATAGATTAAATTTGATTATTTTCAGCAGTAATACTTATTAAATATAAATTCGTACAAATGCTTCGATTTCCCTATGATATTTAGGGCATGTACGAAATTTTTGGGAGCAACTAACACAAGATACTAAATGCCCACATGGAACACAAGCCAGACGTTTCTCTTCTTTCCCATACAAAACACAGGGATGATTTAATAACAGTTTAGTATCTAGAATAGGTTCATCTGTTTTTGAATGTTGATTTGCGGTTTTGACATCCATCGACTCCATTTTCGATGATACTTGTGTTGATGTTATAGGAAGTGATAGTGAAACATGTTCTTCATGAACCAAACTATCTGTAGATAAAATACTACGTTTAGATAGATTATTTTTCAAATTTATATTGCACAAACCAGAATGTTGTCGGTCACGAATTAATTTCATTTTAACACTTGATATGATAATATTATTTTTATTTCCACGAATATGTTCGATTTGTTTCTGAAGGATAATACAAACAATGAATAAATTCTTTTTCTTATGTTTATTTTCTCACGTTTCAATCGAAGTTGATCTTCCCAAAAATGTTTTATGACTGATAGTTTAAAATTTTGATCGAGTAATGTTGATGATTCGAAACAGATGTATTATTCATTTGATCGGTCGAAGTTTGAGATATGTCTTGTACTATTAAAGAAAATGAAATACTATTCATTTTATCGTTTTCTTTTTTCAAGAAAAAAAAAGACGATTCAACCTTTCTGAATGCTTTTAGCTTTTTGAATTTTATCATAAAGTTCAGAACCGCTTAGTTGTTTCGCATATGCACAATGTGGAAACCATCTTATGTGTTCGATTAATGGATTAGCATTTTTGCCCCAATTCTTTAATGATTCATTACAATAGAAACATGTGACAACATTTTCAATGCCAGTATAAAAGAAACCGGCTTTAACCAAGTCATTGACAGCAGGTGATGATTCATTGGTCCATATTTCAAATGTTGCTTGTCGACTTGGAATACTAATATAAGCAATATGGGATGGTGATGTGTAGACAATTTATTCGAATCGAACTTGACTGTTATTATTTAATACAGTTGCTTGATGATCAATATTATCTGTGGAAATTTCATTGATAATCAAAACTGATGAAGGTTCTGTTCGTGTTAACATAAATAGAACATAAGAATACATTGGTGACAAAACGATCTCCAGCATTACAATGAAAAAATCCACCAATGATCATTTGTTCTTCCGTTGGCAGTTTCATGTGGTCAATTTGAAAATGTTTGTTGACGTACTTGCTTAAGAATATCTAGTTCAAACAATTTGCTTTGTCGATTCCATCGATCGATATTGTATTTTGCCTTTATTTGTTTAGCCGAATCTTTTTCATGATTGAGTATCAATGTAATTGTTGATTGTACAAAACGAACAAATGTACAATTCGGATTACGTTCGAGATGAACATTAAATAGATTCACGTTTTGAATCCATCCGGATACTTCGAGATTACATGAATCACATCGAGCTGTATCACCTACTTTCTGTATATCGGAAGCCACCAGTTTTCATTCGATTAGTTGAATGTATTCCGTATGCTTTCAGTTCATCATATAGTTTTACTATATGATGATACAGATCACTTTTTCAAATAAAAAGTGATTGGTTAAAATCTTTATTTTATATAAAATGATGTCCTGCAGGCAGTAGTATCTACATCTAGATCGCAATAATATATAAGTAGATATTTGACAAAAGAATATTCGACTCAAATACGATGATCTACAATGACAGCGAAATGCGCAGTCAATTCAATCAGAGTTGCTAAAAGTTTGTGTACATAAGAAAATTGGTACTAATTCTATTGGTAGTCAAAATTATGCAAATACTATTTTCATACAATATATATTTTTGGAAAGTTGACAGTAACACAATCGAAGCGGTTCACAAATAATATCTAAAATTAGCTCTTCTACTGAACTATATGAGGTATTCATTTTTAAAATCTCTAAAAATCAATAATTAATATAAATTTTCTAATGACATCAATTTCATGTTCTTTTTTCTCAAGGAAGAAAAACCATATTCAGACATTCTTAGCCATTCTAAACCATTTCAAATTGTTCCTAGAAATTCTTATGTATTAACCATATCTATAACTCGCCTTGTTGGTATCTGAAAATTAGTTTCATTATGACAATGATTTT